GGCCTGGATGCCCGGGACCCATCTCCGCCCGCCCTTGCATATCATTTCCAACAAAGGGAAGGCCCGTTTGAAACAATATGCACGCGCCTCATACTTCGACCCCCAACTCAAATATCATGCTCGTCCTTCCTGACCCATATAAACCCTCACTCCTTCCCATTCACATATGGTGCTCGCCATTTCCCGCGCATATATCAACATCTCCCCTCTCCTCACATATCAATGTTTCCGGCGGAAGGGGCAAGTCATGTATGAAACCACTTTCACGTGCGATGTGCGCCTTTACATCGATCCCCACTCAGAATATCATGCTCGCAGTTTCCCGCTCACATATCCTCCCCTTCCCTCCACACTTAAATGTCATGCTTGCCATTTCACACCCATGCATCAACATTTCCCCTCGCCTCGCACATCATGTTCCGACGAAGGGGTAAGGCCTGTCCGAAAACCGCATGAAACGTGCGCCATGCATATGCATATACATGAGCCCCCGCTCAAATATCATTCTCATCGTCCCCCACCCATATAGCACCCCCCCCCATCCCAATCACATAGCGTGCTCACCATTGACGATGTAAAACGCCTGCAGCCCTTAGACAGGATTACCCAATAGAATGAGGACCAAAAGCTGCCACTTGTATTTTTGAGGGAGGACCAAACTTCAACTTCTCCACCTCTCGGCGAGCTTTACTTATAAAAACCACCCAACCCCCACCCGTCTGAACCACACCCCCCGCCGCTTCCCCGTTTTGCTATCGTCCACCGCCAGGCGAAGGCCGACAGTAGTTTTCCTCCCACTCCAAGATGACAGCGAGGGAGTGGGTCCAGTGGGAGGAGGAGATCTTGCTGGAGGACGATGATGAGCACCACAAGGAGTGCTTCTACCTCCGCTGCGCCCCACCCCAGGGCGGCGGTGTGAGTGAGAGGGATCTGGCGGTGGTAGGTAAGTATTGGCCGTTGCCCGCCGGGAACATAGTGTACTCGGCGGATGCGCAGTTGCTGCGGTCCCTCGAGGAGGCGATTATCTGTGGGTCAGTGTCGGCTAGGGCGGTCACGGTGGCGGCGGAGATCACCCAGCTCCGGTGGAAGTCCAGGAAGCAGGTCATGGACTGGCTCGACTCGCTCATCTCAGGTACTCGATCAGCCTTGTAGGCCTTTTTTTTTTCCATTCATGCACTAGTGGTGATTTTTTGGTGGTTTTAGTACTGTAAGCCAACGAATCAGGCCGCTAGAATCTTCACTATGCATCTCCGAGATGGATCTGAAGGTTTGGTTAGTGTTTAGGAGGAGTTTAGTAGTAGATCCGATCCTTTTTCTTGTGTTTCTAATGTTTGAATACATAGCATCTGAAGGTTTGGCAGCTTTTTAGCATTCATGGCCAGCCAGGTCAGTTTCTGTTCGTCACGTTCTTGTTCCGTGCCAGGATTCATGACAAGGGATCTATGTGTCCTCTACGATCCTCTATTTATTAGCAGCAATATTTGGGATATCGTTTGCCTAATCGTAATAGATCTACTCCTTTTTTGTCAAGGCGACAATTGTATGAATTAATTTGTTACTCTAGATATCGTCATGATTCTTCGCCCTATGTTCTTTCTTGGCTTGTTTCCTGCTCATGTAGATTTGGTTTGGTAGATCTAGTGTATGCGTTTCTTTCCTTTTCCTTTTGATTTTGGTTAACTTATGTGTTAACTTTTGTAGTGTTGTTCTTGTGAGGGCAGTGAGGCTAACTTGTTTCCATTGATTTCGTCTTTGTAGATCCTCCGTATGGAGCCTTCGGATTGGCTTCTCCGGGTGACCATGACGATGGTGGTAGCCCTGCATCTAGCCAGAAGGCGGCCGCCGCAGCACCCGCAGAACTTGCTGCGCCAAGCCCAGTACTGCAAACTCCGGGGAAAGGTGACCATGAATCTGCAAAATCTGCTCCTCCACGGAAGAGATCCTTCGCCCTGCTGAGTGATTCTTCCGAGGAAAACAGACTGCAGGTTAGAAAGAACAAGGGCCCTGATGAACCTGCAAAACCAGTTGCAGAGAAGCTAAGCCTGCAGCAACGCGGTGAGGAGGAGGGAGATAGAATCTCCTGTGGTGGCAGCTCAAATGATGCCAAGAGGTACCGAGTTGGTCTTACAAATTTTATCAGGGTGAGCCTGAAGTGGGTTGAACGTAAGGCTAGAAGCATACTGGGGTTTTCAGACGGCAGCAGCCAGGAAGGCATCAATGACTCTGCCTCCAGTGGAGGGGCTGGCCCGGTGAATTCAGTGTCTCTGGAAGAGACATGCACAGCCGATGAAGAGGCTCCTGTTCCTATCCCCCCTATCGACGAACAGCAACTGGTCGACCTGACCATGTATGACTAAATTTAGCAGCGGGATATGAAGTGTGGCATGAACTTTCGATTCATGAACTGTTATTTCTCAAAGATTTCGCGCATTCGCCTCCATTCTGGATAGAGAGAATTCTTTGTACTTTCTGAATTCAAAATAAAGTGAGACTGAGACGTCATTCCTAGTCCATTTTGCTCCTCAGCTTTGGTGTTAGTTTACTCGAGTTAACTCCTTCGCATTCCTGTTTACTTGTCAGAAATTCTTGTTTTTTCTTTCTTTCTGGAAATACACCAAGCTCCCTTTCTGAAGAAAAAAAACACCAACCGGTTCAGTCCCTTTTTTATTATTATTTGTCCCCTTGTATAAGATTCTTGGTTCACTCCCAGACTTTTCATATTGCTCTTTGATAAGTGCCATACTCATATAGACTTTCAATGTTGTTTTAGAAACATCACATATGCATAACTAATCAAATTATACATGTACGTTCTTATAAGAGAAAATCATGGAGTGAGGCATTTTGGAGACTGAGCTCCATGGAGCCCTTTCTTTTGAACAAATCAAAATTAAAAAAATCTGAAAAAAATGCACATGTATGCAAGGATGTAAAGTGTATGTGTGAAAAATTCCAGGATGAAATACCTTGAATTGCGAGCTGCACAAAAAAGACAAAATCATGGACTTTGAGGATGAACCGTACATATACTAAATAGCTCCAGATTTGTCTTTTTTGTGTAGCTCACATTTTAATGTATTTCGACCTGAAAATTTGCGCATATGTACATTAGGTATCTAGTTCTGTGTGTATTTATTTTCAGAATTTTTAGAATGAAAAGTTTGAAATTTTAAGTTTTCAAATAAAAGCCTCCATGGAGCTTAGTCTCCGTTTGGCATTTTCGAAAATCATGCCACTAATAAATTTATTAGAAGAAAGATAACTGCATCCGCAAGTCTTAAGTATTTGACACTTAATTATCAAGTCTTAAGTCTTTTAGCAGTGTTGGTACTTAAAAAAGTACTTCTAGAATGTGTGCTTCCCATTGTTTTGGTTACCGAACACTGCAAAATTACCGAGGGGGAGCGGTAAATGTGGTTACCGTGGTTACTACAAAATACCGACCGAATACCATTTGAAATTTTTAAATGAAATTTAAATTCAAATATCTGAGCACGTCAAATAGCTGGGGAACTAATATTATTCATAATCTCGTAGATGGCGCAATGGTTTTCCTCTCGCAAAGGAAGGAAGTAGGCAAAAAAATACAGCATGGATGGGATTCAAAAATGCGACGTAACAGCAAGCTGGCTCATAACCTGTGTGGGATCCAATAGCACTACGCCATAGCTAGCTTGGTGTTGTATGGAGTTTCCCGTCTATTTGACAACATGTCAACCGTTGAAATTCAAAAAATTCAGAATTTCCTGATTTTTTTTGCTCAAAAGGGCCATTTACCGAGGGGCAACGATATCCGCAATAACCGCCCAAAATTGCGAAATTTCGTTTGGTAACCAAAACACTGGTGCTTCCAAAGATACCCATACGGGTCGGCCTGCGCATCTACATACTCTAGTATTTTTCGACAAAAGGTGGACTTTATCTGCTTAGACTGGAGCATCAAACATAACGAGCACACACCCGACCTCTTCATAGCTAGCACCAGTCAATGTCAATTCAGTCCCAAGCTAGGTATGGTGGTTTTGATTGGTTAGTAGTCAGTACTCTGTTGGTGGAGAACTGGATTAATTGATTTCGGTTGTGATGGAGTGCTCGGAGTAGTGTCCCACATACGTAGCGTGGCTCTTGTACTCTGGGAATTAATCATCGAACCACTTGAGAGGGAAGGCCTACGAGTCTGTCATGGACTAGCGGCGCTTTTGTTCCCTATGGGCTATGGTCTTGTACCCCTCTTCTTTGGCGGCATAAGGGAACCCCATGGAGATGAGCCTCTCCAGGAAGAGCTGGTTCGCTTCTGATTTGCCCAACACGAAGTGCACAGGAAAATAATGTGTCGCCGTGTGTGTGGGGTTGTAAGCCGAGTGCATTTTTTGGTCACTCGGCTTACATTCCTCTAAACCGAGTAGCAAGAAAAATACATCGGCAATAACCTTGGCTTATAGTACCATGTATTTCGAGTGGTTGGAAAATGTTCTTGGCTTATGCAGGACACTAGGCATATAAAAAATAAAGGTCTGGGCTTACAGTGTGTCCCCGGCAAAGATATATGCCACGTGCCAACAATGGGGGTGGATGATGGCGTCGTCATGGAACAGTCTATAAGCTGAGTGTCCGGCAGGATGATCTTGGCTTATATTTCCCTATAACTTTTTTTTGCACACATGAGATATAAGCCGTGCGCCCTGACATAGGTTTCGGCTTATATACTATATAAGCCGAGTGCTTCCTGTATATGCTTGGCTTACCTTTTACAGATTTTTTGCCAGCCTATTTTTTAATGCTCAAATGGTTTCTAAATGATTTTCATTGCATTTGTGTTTACTAATTGAATATTATTTTTTTCCCCTCTTTCTCACCCATTCTCTCCCGACAAGTATTCATTGCCCTTATTATCGATGCCCTCAATTTCCCTGTATCTCTCTATTTACCGGCACTTTGCTACTTCAATATTTTGATGACCTTGTACTCTCCAAGTGTACCCATGTTAGGATCACAGGCAAAAGGATAAATTGTTCCGGCCATTATTCCATCTATTTGATGAGTCCATCCTGGTCGGTAGTAATTCCAGAAATATCAACCTCATAGCTGTTCGTCCGGAAACACACAGGAGGGTCGGAGAACCTCCTCAAATCGCATGTGTCCCTAATATATGTCTGAATGGTGGGTGTGATGTTTACATATACAACACTCAACTTTGGTGTGGCACTTGCATGAAAAGGTCCAGACTAAGAGTGGGAGTCCTGCACTCGAAGCCGACAGGAGTGAATCTTGTGCGGCCCTGGGCCAAATGTTGGTTTGACATGTCACAATAACATACCCTAACACAATCCAAGGGCAAGGCACAATGATACATGCTGGCTGCCAGTTTGATTACTTGGCGACCAGAGGATGGCAAAAATGGAAATTGCATGCACCAACTAGAAGTATCCGGTGGAAGATTACTTCGTGAAGTGTAGAGGAACTAGAGACATAAAGCAGTGGAGGAAAGCTTCTTTCTTTCTTCGGAGTAGCAGGAAATACCTGGCAGAAAATAAAGGCAATACTCTAAGGAGAACAGATGGATAAGGAGATAGGAACGGTCCGAAAAGCTGCATCCAGGATAAGGAGTAGCTCGTTACAAGTGTCGCATCAGAGAGCAGTGAAGGGGTGTACACACACCGATGACTTGACAAGTGTCATGCGAGTCAAAAAGGCATGGAGTAAAATAAGGTACTAATTAACACGGGTACTTATTATGATAAATTTCTAGTAATAAGATTGGATCAAAGTATGTTATGCACAGGTTCAACCTCCCCTCCCTCCCGTCTGGTCTTTGAGTTAATAGCTCCAAAAAACTTTGCCATGACCACCATGGTCTTTATTATTTCCGACCAGAGCAGCAAGAATGTTACCAGGGATTTGTGGCTCCAATCCCTTTATTTTTCCAAAGGGAAAAGATGGAACAGACCGAATCCAAAATGGAGGCGGGTGTCCCTTTCCTAATGCTTCCACAGCTATGCTCGTATCGTCGGAATCCGGGCTCTATGGGTATTCAACAAGAACCCAGCTGGGACAAATAAAAATATTGCATTTGGCGTGGACAGATGCATAATGCATTTCCATCCATAGTCATGAGGGAGATTAGATCCTGGGATCAGACTCCCCATACCCAGTATGGAGTCAGCGTCAACTTCGGTATGGCGTGGGTCACGTACTAATGAGACCCGATAGCGCCCGTTCATGTTCAGCTTTAAACATAGGACGCTACCAGATCACTACCTTCTTGTCTTTCCGATCCTGAAGTTCTCGCGAAGAGAATAAGATGCAGCTCCCTCGTATGTATTTTTCCGCTTTGCCTCTCACGCGGGTCGGGCTTAGGCGGGCGCGGGAGGAAAAAAGAAAGTCGAAGAGCGTCTTCTCCTTTGTCAATACCTTATTGATTCAAAAGGGAATGCAGATGCAATCTACTTGGAAATAAAGGGTCTTGGCATGTAGTTGACTTCATAATGAAGAGCCAGAAGTTTAATGTCACTAGCTTCATTCTTGCAGAAATTGATCAAGCTAGAAAGAAGGGATTTCCACAAGAATCTTCTCTTTGCACCACACATCATGAGAATGATATTGAACAAGAGTCAGCTCAGCCTGCCTCTTCCTTTGCTCCCCATTTTTAGACTTCTACAAGTCGATCTTCTTACGATGGAAATCATGAAAAAGATCATTCGCTCTTACCTCATCTGGAGCAGACGAAACATAAAAAATCAAAAAGAAAGAAGAGAAAGAACTGGGAGTTGGCGCCTACATGACATGTAGCTTGCTTACCAAGCCGTCCTGGCAAGCTCCTATAGTTCTCTTATTACTCTTGACTTGACTTTTTAATAAGAAAACTACTCACTAACAAAATGAAAGACGATCTAGAATCTACCCAAGAAAAAGGCAATTTCATTATGGTGGTATACTAGCCGCCATTTCTGGAACTTCCAGTTCCAATCGGAGCATATAGATCCATAAATCTTGTAAAGTTTCAATGGCAAAAACTGTAAGCGGGTGACCCTGACGATTGCACCAAGACTGGTATCAGAGTCCCTCGGTAATCAAAATCATCGAGGCCAAAGTTGCTAATGTATCTGCAAAAGAAAGGCTATAGGAAGTAGCAAGGAATCCCACATGAACCATAAGCTAGAATACTGGTATCAAAAGATGTTATTACAGGTACAACCCTATTTTCGTCACTGTATACAGGCATTCAAGGTTTCCTGCACTACGGTGTGACAATTGTGATAAGCTAAAAAAAATCCTAGATACATCTTTTTCCACATGTTTCTATCTCCTAATCCATTCGTTCTCCTTAGTGTATTGCATTTATTTTCTACCAGGTATT